TCTAGTGTTATAGTGGTGTTATTGTTATGGTTTAGGGTGTAGTGTTATCGCTTAAAGTTTAGGAATTATTTTGTAATAGTTGTGTTATTGTTGTATTTTTTTTGTATTATTGTTGTATTATTATCATGTTACTGAGGTGTTATGTGATGTTTAGGTTTAGTTTTGCTAGTGTTATAGTGGTGTTATTGTTATGGTTTAGGGTTTAGGGATTGTATTGTTCTAGTAATGTTATCTTTGTAATATTATTGTATTATTCTCATGTTATTGTCGTGTTATTTAAGTGTTATGTGATGTTAAAGTTAAGTTTTTCTAGTGTTATAATCGTGTTATTGTCAGAGCTTAGGGTGTAGTGTGTTATTGTTTAGAGTTTATGGATTGTATTGTCATAACAGTGTTATTGTTGTATTATTTATGTATTTTTGTCGTGTTACTGAGGTGTTATGTGATGTTATTATTTACTTTTTCTAGTGTTACAGTGGTGTTATTGTTTATGGATTGAATTATTGTAGTGGTGTCAGTGTTGTACTATTGTGGTGATGTTATTGTATAGTTTTTGTAGTGTTATGGTAATGTTATTTTATAGTTTTTGTATTGTTATTGTGTTGTTATTGTTTGCATCATATCTATCTGACTATTTTTAAAATGGGGTGGTGATGTGCAGTGCAATGATCCAATCGCAGAGACGTTTCTTCGTACCGATGTGCACAATGATCAAGAAGAATATGAATGCTATTATGTCTATGCACATCATGTAGGCTTTTCTGTCATAAAGGATCATAGTAGCTATTGGCCAAACTCGAAGAAGATTAAAACTAAAGATTTTATTTGCGGAAAGGCTGGCCATGGCTAACGACAAGGAGTGTTATGTTGTTTATTGTTGTGGTATTCTCGTGTTATTGTTGTGTTAATGTTGTGTTATTGTGTTATGAATGCATTATGATTAGGATTACGACATATATATTCTATAACGACTTTCTATCATTTAAGTTGTGAATCATAATGATATAATTGATTGACAAAATTTTTTATTAGTGGATCTACAAAGATATCTTGGACGACACAACCCATAACTACTGACAAGGATTCTTCAATCAAGTTGAGTCCACCACCATCTCTGGCTAAGTAGATCATGGATCATGAGAACCCAAGATGACGTAACCATAGGATCTTGATCAGCTTTCCTTCATTCTCCCAGCATTAGCTTTAAGCTTCAAGTGATAGATTTTACAAATTGAAATCCTAAGTCTTCTGCTATTATATGTTAAATATTCAATTCTAAATAACTAGTTTTAATCGAAAGTGCACTCTCATTGTCGGGAGGAGTAATTAACCATAAAAATTTGTGTTTTGTAATTTAGGGTGAAACAATGCAAATACAGAAGAAGAACACAAAGATTTAACGAGGTTCGACAAAGATGCCTACATCCTCGGGAGCAGAGTTATGAATTCACTATTATGAATTCACTATTTCAGAAGAGCTACATACCCATAGGGTTACACATCTATTTATAAATAAAACGCACAGATAATTACAAACACGCCCTCGCTCTCTGCAACCCAATAATCCAAGAGACACACCTCTTTACACCAAAAGACACATATTTTTCATTCCAGGAGACATACCTCTTCATTTCAAGATACTCCAAATTTCCTACCAAACTCAAGGTGTGACATAATGAATCTTGAGAAATTTGATTTTATGGTGTGCCCAACACGTGAATTTATTAAAATTCAACTTGATTATTAGGATTGATATTGGGATGGAGAAGAAGCTCATATTATTGAATCCATATGACCATATTAGGTTCTTTTTTTCTGTCTCTTGCACCAAATGATCTTCATAATCACACCTAATGCAAGCAAGTCATAGTTTCCAATCATTGCTTGTGAAATTTTCTTTTGATATTTGATTTCTTTGGGTTCTTTTAGCTTCGAGCTTCCTTCAAGCGGATGATATTTGATGAGCATTTAACAGCCTTAATGATGTCATAGTTGAGTGGTATTTGGCTCATTAGATTCGTCTTATCAAAACGCTCAATTCAACTACAGTAATCTTATGAGTTGATCTGAGCATGATTTGACTCCTATTAAACTAATTTTGATATCATTGAGTCTGTCTCATCAAGCCTAACAGTTTTACTATAAGTTTCTCGAAATTGGAGCTCTAAGTGACTTTTAATTGAAGTTTGAATGTTTCTTGCTTAAATGATCGTCTCGAGGTGTTATGCCTTGATTTGTTGGTGCCGTGTCAGTAATATTTTTGGAGTGATGTTAAAAATTTGAGTATTACACATATAAATATGAAAGTTAAGAAATTAGTCATAAATACATATAATAATTGTGTGATATAGTAATCTCTTTGTAAACGCCTCCTAGACATTTTTATACATATGCAGTCGGAAAGAAGAGAGTTTTAAATAAGTCACACAAGTCAATAGCGGGTAAGAATGTAATTACAGAAATAATTTTATAATTGTTTAGGGGACCACTGTGCAATTCAATATTCAAAAAGTCACCCAGTCAATAGCCTCTAGAAGAGTTGAACCTTGATAAAGTCTTTGACGGCCCTAAAAGCTGACGCTCATTTTATATTTGTAATAAGAGACACGACGCGGAGCTGCTGGCGCACTCTTTTATAATATAT